TGTCGGCCWCTSCACCCAGCTTGGTGTCATCTGCACACTTGCTCAGGGGAAAAACCATCATCAGAAAAAGCATCATTTACAGATTGTGGTTGAAGAGCAGATGAGTATTTCCTAGCAGAAGAGCGTCAGGGAACAAGTTAACGTGACCTTCATCGCAGTCCTATCTCGAATCACAGGACAGGCAAGGTTGGACTCTGAAGATCTTCTGGTCTAACCTCCTGCCCAAAGCAGGGTCACTTGGAGCTAGACCCGGCTCAGGGCCACGTCCAGTCACAATCCGAGCATCTCCCAGAAGGAAAACCCTACAACCTCCCTGGGCAACCTGTTCCAGTCTTGACCACTCTAAGAATTAAGTGCTTTCTTGCATTTAAATGGAATTTCTCATTCTGCTCTTYGTGCTAACTGGATGGAGCACCAGACGCGGAATACGGCACCGTCATCCCCTGACATTCATTACCAAACTGTTAAAATCCAACTGCTTCAGCTGCTTTTTGTGAGCTCCCGAGCAGGGCTGATGCTCAGGAGAGGCAGGCACGAGCAGGGCTATCAGCCCTGATGTTTCTTCAACAAACTGAAGGTACCTTTTGGGGAGAACTATCCAGCTGTTGTTCTTACAAGATGGGCTTAGTGCAATACCGACGGAGCTCTGGCGATGTGTCTGGGATAGCACATGAGAGCAGATTCATAAAATAGCCACTGCATGCCTGTAATTTTCTGGATTTTCACTCTTGAACGGATCATGACTTACTCCACGCACAGAAACCTGCTCCTTTACCAACTCACTTGTTAATGTCGCTGTTCATATTAAGAGTGAAGACCTACAAGGTCTCCATAGAGAAAGGGAACTTAGCTTGAGTAGACACCTTGGGCAAGACGAATCCCTTTATTTCCATGTCTGGTGTATAGAAGCTGCSCAATTAATGATGATTCTCATCTGGGCTGGAAACCAAGCAGAGCAAATGCAAAGGATATACATGAAACCCATCCACACGCCCTGGTCAAGGTCTCACGAAACTACTGAGGGCTGCCCCAAATCAAGTGAGGTCCAAGCTACCATGCCACTAACAGGTACCTTTTCCTTCACTGTGGATTGATTTTGACTTTAAGTTAATGGGAGAACAAGGGGTTTCTCATCTAAAGGCACAGTGAAAGTACTCAGTTTAACAAGAGCTCTTAAATCTACGGCACATTTCCCAGAGTTTGCACAGGAGAAGAGAAAGGAAAGCTTGGCACCAGGTGGGAAGGAGAGAAAAAGCACATTCTGCTCACCTATGGAGTTTGCTGCCATTCAACAACCTAGTTCAAGGCGAGTTTGAGCACTCAACATCCTCAAGAAACATAAAACATTCACTAAAAAGGAAACGATGAAAGTGCCGATTGACTTCATCTTTTAGGGAGCTTTTTAGGGAGATCTGGCCTCGAGAAGACCGTTCATTCCCGTCTAAGACTCCAAAATGACTCCTCCCAGGCGCAGGCTGCAGGACTCTTGCCACTCAAGACCTACTGAGAACGTTTTCTCATTGGAAATCTAAGTGGATCGCCTTGCTCCAAAGGCAGCCTTCCCATGGAAAAACCTTTGCCAATGGCATGTGTTGTCTAGACTAACACGTTAACTTCTACCAGTGAGGTTTATGCTCAGAGTGCACAGTTCCTTTCCGGCCTTATTTAGTAATCACACAGCCACAAGTCCAGACGAGGCTTCAAGCTTCATAATGCACATAATCCATGTTCTTATTAAAGATGAGAATCAGAAAAGCCTGCAGTTGTCGTTTGCTGCGGCAACGATGGAAATGCTTCACATTCCTCTAGCTCTAGGCACTGACAGCGGGTGTCAGTCGGCAACACGACAGATTCATCGATGAACGAGGCCACGAGCAGCCCCCGCGTTGCAAACGAAGCTCCGGGGTCGGGTGCTCCTCAGCTGCCCTCTGCACGGAGCCTGCCGGAGSCCTCAGGCCTCAGTGGGATCCCACACCTGGCACTAAAATATTGCACGTTCCTAGGAATCAGGATGGAGGCTGTAGATTAGAACTCAAAAAAGTGTGAAACGTTTCACTAAAAATCCAGAATTTTGATATTTGTCTGAAGTTCATGCTTGGGATTTCCGCTCCAACACAAGCCGCTGTCAGTTCCCATCCCAACCAATGCTTCCACGCGAGCAGCTTCCATGCCAGTCACGGACCTGCAAACTCCCACGGATGGCTCTCATGGTCAAAATCAGAAAAACAGAGAGAAAATCTGATAAAGAAACCACATTGGTGGTAGCAGCCCCCTACGAAACATCAGCTAAAGATTAGAGACCACTTGTGGCCGGTCACTTCCTCAAAATCATACAATGCGTTTTAGGTTTCCTAGAAAAGTGACCAAATCCTGTGTTAGTTCAACAGAGCACATTTACCAAAACCAGAAGCGAYCTTGATTTACAGCAGCACTGCTTAGTGGGTATTTTTTATGCTTTCATCTCTTTTCTGGTAGAGTTTTCACCTGAAAGGTGACGGGCATTTGTGTAACTTCCTATAGCAAGGTCACGCTGCACAAAGGCAGCACCGAGGCCGTACAAATATATTTATGGACCTGCCAAAGAGTTGTGGAAATGCTAAATTGTTAAGGAGTCAAGAAAAATAATATCAAATCAGCACTCTGCACTGCAGCAAATAAAACGTGCACATTGCCCTGCCTCCCAGCCCTCCGCTCCCCCTAACACAGGCACCATTCAGCCAGATTTACAGCATAATTCCCTGTTTTCTAAAGCCTACGCCGATTTTCACAGAACATAAGTAACCCATTAACTATCCCCCTGGATCTCTGTTTTTATTAGCTCCACAAAAGCTTGTCTTCATACTGTGTTTTAAGAGCGATTCTCCTCCGCTCTCCATTTCCCGACGCTGTTTTTGTTGCTTCCACAGTGACTGACTTACAAGCCCTGCTTCGTAATCCCTCCCAGCTGCATCCTGCTCCCCCAGCTCCCACTTGCATCCTCCCGCCCCACGGTGACGGACAATGGCTTCTTTCACCGGCCTCTAACTTGCTTCTTCCTTGGTGGACACAACTGTAACTAAAGCTCCAGTTTATTTTCCTACCACATTCCCCAGTAACCCCAGGGCTCTTCCTTCTGCCCTCTCCACCCTCCACCCGTGCAACTTTTACCTTCCCATGGAGCAATACTCCCCTCCCAGGAGCAAGCCCAAGCGCAGTAAATCGGAGGGCGAGAGCAGTTGCAAGGACTATTAATGACACCGTAACCCAGGATGCAGCCAGGGAGGCAGCTGCAGGAGAGGCTGAGAATTAGCAAGCTAGTTTTAATGGCACAAAGATTAACAGTCATCCCGGCAAGGTAGCCGAATGGTAAAACCTACGTCAACATTTCTTTGGAGAACATCCCTGGAGATGTTAGATTTAGGGACGGATTGCCAGGGATGCAGGAGCAGGAGGATGTCCTGCTTGGTGGCAACCTCAGGCAGCAGCCGTCAGGAAAGGGCACTGGGCAACAGCTCCCACTGGGACAGCGGCACAGAGGAATGCATGAGCTGATCCATACGGATAAGATTGTTCTGGATATCTAGGAATTCCCGCTGGCTGCTTTCAAGTGCAAGATGAGCCTACTGCCTTATCTCCAGATCTCCCCACGGTTCCACTTGTTGCCTTTAAACCTTCTCTGTGCCTTGCAGTTCTGTGCTGACGGATAACTCGCACGATGACCCCACTGCCTCTTCCTTGCTTTATTTATCCYGCCATACGTGTTTTTCTTCAAGTAWGAGTTTGTAAGAAGGAGAAGGTAAAGGAAGAGCAGAAAGCAAAGCGCAGCCCCCTCATTAGCGCAGCTCRTTAGGCAGCAAGAGGAGACAGCAGTCCTGCAGGGTGCCTAACTGCAGCAACAGCCACCTCCTCACCTCTTCTCCCCAAARACCCTGCTCCATGATATGGTTCCCCCTACATTCTTTTAAAAACCACTTTTTACAGCAAGACTCACAACTGACAGTAAATGTGTGCAAATATTTAGAGCAAGAGGGAAGAGCAGCGTCAGAGGCTGTGATACAGGAGAGCACCTGAGCGTCGGGCTTCCTGAGCTCTGCACCCACACAGAGCATCGGGAACATGGGGAAAATGGAGGAAAGAGCACGCAAATSCCAAAAAGAAGAGTGTAATCAAATTGAACAGAGAACGGGCAGAACTCATAGCTGCAGCCAGGCTGCCCAAGTCTCAACGCTGTGTCTGGAGATCACTAAGCAAGAACTAGGGTCTGGATTTATCTACCTGTGTGGTAAAAAGAGCAAGTTTATACACCCCGAGACGTCTACACATTCATTACCCTGACAGAGAGGTGACAACTAGCAGGGCTAGGGATTTTTGAGGATGCTAGCATGAGTTTAGCCTGGGSGAAAGAAACAGAAGAAGAAATTGAGCTTATGGGGGGAAGAAAGAAAGGAGTTTYTCCTTTCTAGCAATCACACAGAAAACACCACACACTTTTCAAGCTAAGCAGAGGTCCAACAGTGCAGGAGCTCAGCATTTACCCCCATGCTGAAAAACACAGGAGCGAACGGCGCGCTCAAACGCTGCTCGAGACAGACCCTGGGGTGGTACCGACGTCTCGGGCAGTCACCACTTGASAGGGCACGTTTGAGGACGGCGCAAGCAAGTGCCTTTACGAAGGCTGCAGAATGAACAGGAGCATTTAGGGAGAATGTGTTTTTCCTGCTGTTTCTCTTTGCATTGCTCACCACAAGACACATTAGAACTTGGGAACTCCGTGTTATCAGCTAGTGCTGCTCCGCACTCTGGCTGGGGAGGGATTTCATGGGCAATCAATCTCGTGGCGGGGCGCAGAGCACCCGTCGGCGCGGCCAAGCCCCRGGCCCGCTCGCCCTGGGACCGATACGGTTACAGTGGGAACAAGGAGGGCATTAAGCGCTCGGTTACACGGAAACACGAGGGCTTTTCTCATAACGGCCGCTTTGTTCGCGCCAGATGGTTCCCAACAGCAAAATATTCCCGCTTACCGTTTTCAACGTGGGCAAGTCTGTGCACGAGGGGCAGCCACACAAGGCACTGGGGAGGCGGGTCGGCCATCAGCGTGTCTAAGAACATGTTGAGCGCGATCTTTTTCTGCAAACAAAAAGAAAGACGTGGCAGGGAATTGTAAGAAAAGCCTTAATTTTATATGACAAACTATCTCAGTCTAAATCTGTCTGCTTCACTTTCTGCCAATAATGTATCATATGCTATAAAGAAGAGATAAAAATCGCAGCTTCTTTGCTCAGGAAGTTTCAGGCTCTATGAGGCCAACAGAAAGGCTGCAGAGAAGGCATTAGCGTGGACATAGGGTAATCCCAGAAAATTAATGGCAGGCAGGTGAACAGAAAATGCCTCAAAACGGAGGCCCAGGTGGTCAGCAGATCCTGAACTGATGTTAAAGAGCCTGTTCTGAAGAGCGAGACAACATCAAAAGGCAGAGGGGTTTATTTAGCAGCGTAGAAAATGGCACTCCAAACATAGAGGCGGTGGGAAAACATAGGAATGCACGGAGAAAAAGAGCAACTACAGCTCATACTCACCTATTAGCTAAACGCTATTTGTTCTTTTAATTAGACAAAATGAGAAAAGCAAGAGGCAAGGGGAGAATCTGAGTAATATTTAAAAAAAATAAAATTAAATCATTAGGGGAAGGAAGTCTGCAACAGGGCATTTTAAGGGTAATACGGAGGTAATAAGGGTAAGGGTTCAAATTCAGAGGAGCCGGAAGAAAAGTTCCTGCTGCAAATACAAGTGGATGGGGATAACTGGTAAAGAAAAACAGCTAAGAGCTATTACAGACACAAAGAAAGAATTTTCTGGCTTTTTCACACAATAAGCCAGATAACTGGGGGGTTCTCACACACAAAATGCATTTGGGCAGGCAGCCCTTTCCCCCTCACCTTTGCACAGGGCAGGATTGCTTCAAAAAGCCTCCATAAAACAGAGGGGAAAGAGAATGGGAGGAGAGGCCAGGCTGGCTTTCTAGGAGCTGCAAAATTGCACCTGCAACTTTCCTGCTATGAGTTGAGGGTTTTTTTTWAATTATTTTTTAGTAAGCTTCTATTTAAAGCATCACTATTTGTGTGATTCGTGGCAAATGGGTCTATTGCCCCTGCAGCCAAGTACTCGGGAGAGAAAACCATAATTTCTTCATTATAATGGAATTATAATTCTCTGCTCCAGTCACTCTCTGGGAATTTATTTTTATTTTTATTTTTATTTTTATTTTTATTTTTATTTTTATTTTTTAATTTTAATTTTTGAAACATGTAATATAATTCCTTAAGATCTAGCGCCTTGTTCTGCAGATCGAGGCCGCACCAGGGCCGCGGGAAGAGCGTGGGGGGCTCCAGGCTGCCCTTTCCCCTGGGCTAATCCCTCCCCAGGCTCCATCCCGGCTTTGCTGCCTCCCACAGGAGCAGCTGCCTCGTGCCAGCCCTTCCTGCCGCCACARCATTCCCGTTTCCATTCTGAAGGGAACCTCTCGGGCTCCTTTGGGTGAATGAGCCAGTTTGGTGGTGCAATGACACGGTGATTGCTGCAAGGACACAGTGATGCATGTCTCAGGTCACAGGCACTAAACTGCAGCCCGGAGATTTCCTCCTTCCTTCGCTGTGATCCAGGGAAATCACATCCAAACAGGTGGGTGTTAGACCTGTTTGTAGTGCCAGTTGTCTCTAATTAAGGATCTTAATCTGCAGCTCCATCAACACGTGCTTATAGCACCCTTGCTCCCAAGGCAAGACTGCAACAGACWTCTCTACCTCAACATATCAATAGATAATCCTATCTCTCAGTCATTTTTTTAATCAAGCTTGCACATCTTGACCACACTTTTGACCCCACCAGTGTTTTTAAGTGTGTACAGGGAGTTCAGTTATCAGCCAAAATAAGTCTTCATAAAAAATTGGGCTCATTCACCCTATTCAGGGGCTGGGCAAACGCAGCGATACGGACGTGGCCCCCGCTCATCTCCAGGCCCCGGGCACGGTTAGGGAGCCAGGCCGGAGGAAGCTGACGTGCCCTTCGTGCGACGGCCTGGAATGCAGTGGCTTTACTGATGTCACAGGGAACATGAGAGAGGCCCCTTGGGAAGCTTATTTTCTATCCCAAAGGACAGAAAAAGGGGATTTGGGAGGCAYGAGCAACAGGAATGACATTCAGGGTAGGTTCCCCAGGTACCTGCTGGGACCAACCTGCTTCCCGTCTCCGTATGGACGGCAGCGCCTGGTTTGGGAGCACGCTCTGCAGCGGGACTAACAAACCCCGTCCTAAACCCCTTCACGCTCTGCAAGCCAGGCCTTGCTCCAGGCACTGCCTTTTACTGACCAGTATCAGAGCAACACCACTGCCCCAAGGGAACCACGTGCAGATGCATTTCCCACTGGGACAAACCCCATCCCAACCTGGATGAGCTGCAGCCCCGATCTCCCAAATTCCAGGCTGCTTCCTACCGAGYTGCACTTCAAATGCACTAATTGCTGATCAGCTGAAATTTAGCAAAAGCCACTATAAATTCTCATTCTGAGCACTTCAGGTATATTTCTTCCAGAACATGATCAGAATCTAAATATAAATGTAAGATAGTTTAGACATAAGATTATCTAGGTTCATGTTTACAGCTGATTTCAGGCTTACTTACACTAACATTATCTCAGATTAAGGACACATACTCAGGACAATTACAATTTAATCACAACTAAATTACAGCTAAAATGTGGAGATAACTGTAGTTTCTGGGAGACCTTTTAAGATCAGTATTACTACATCCACTCAAAAAATTACATGAAATGGAGATATTTTTGAAAAAAASTCACACTAATAAGTGCAACAGTTAAATACATTGTCTGTGCACAGCTTGTCCTTTAAATCCATTTATTTTTGTGCAATCTCAACCAGCTCTCAACATCCCGAGAAACATCAAGAGCTGAGGGGGAAGCACTAAAAGGCTCTGTTTCATGTTTCAGGCAAAAAGCAGAGTTTTCCCTTGACACTCTTCTCACGGGTACAAAATTGGCCTGTTGAAAGAAAGAACATAAAGGATCTGGCACAATTTGACCACCTAGAGGCCTAAATGTACAACCTTTAATTGCTCCGGCTCTCTGGAAGCTGCTTAAATACTGCACATTGCTCCCACGGAAAGCCTCTAACCCTCATACTGAAGAAGTCCGGGGCCCTGCCAGGGCATCAGGGTCTGAAGAGGAGGAGGATGAAGGCCCTACCTGCTGCGGGAAGCACGTCCGCACCGAGTGCTCCGTGTACCCGAAGGAGGGCCCTTCGAACACGGCCGTCGGCAGCTTCAGAACCTCCTTCAAAAACTGGTCAAACTTGGTGAATATCAGCAGCCCGTTGGAGTCGGAGATCTGGGAGAAGATGTCTGCAAGAGAACACAACACCGCCCTGCAGCAGAGGGSACGTGAAGGCACCGGAGGATGGCAGGTACAAACCACGGCAGGTATTTTTTCCCCGCAGTACGTTCAAAATGGGGATTTTTTTATTTTCAGTTTTGGTCATTTTAGGGTTTTTACTTTAATGTAATGGAAAAATTCAATTGCTCTCCATACGGTAAAAGCATCAATTAGGTTTTAATCCACTAGGATCATTTAATTTAAGCTCCACAATGACCCTACCACTTCCCAGTCCGTTCTGCCCAAGCTACTGCAGAGCCCACGTCCATCTGAGACCACCCGGGGACGCGTGTGAATAAGCCCCCAAATCCTCACCTATTAAGCTAGTTCTTAGCTAGCTTATTATCTGAAAAAAAAAATTACTTAACTGGTCTGTGCTTTCTTGGGATAAAAAGCGTTTTGCTSGCCTTGACCTCAGATTTCTCCTGTTCTATTTGCGTTGCAAGAGGGAGAACCCATGTGCCATAGGGGACCCTTGTCCCAGGAGGAAGCAAGCTCGCAGCCACGGGCAATTTTCCCTATTGCAGCCTGTGTCCCCTGCCTCGAATCCCGCTCCTAGGGCAATCAGTTACGGAGAGCTGAGTGGAATTTATTTTGACCTGGATATTAACTGTCTAGATAGCTCAGTATGAAAATGTTTTTCTAAACTCGCTGCTACCTGCTGTATAAATGATGGAGAGCCCTAGGATGGAGTCTGCTCGTCCAGGCCAGMGGAGCAGCACAGCCCTCCCTTGCTCTCCCTCTCATTCCCTCACTTTTTCCACCCCTCCATACAAATCCCTGGAGTGCAGCGGCTGACTTTCTCATAGAGCCAGTTTCCAAATTACCCTAAAGAAATTACACAGGAAGAATTGGTTACGGAGTGGGTTCCATTGAACGCAGAAGAGAGACCATAGCTGGAGGCTGCGTGTTAAAGGATACCTATTGTGCAAGGAAAACAAGAAGACAGGGAAAAAGAACACAGGGAAAAAGAGGCCATGGAAGGAGAATGAGGTCAGAGCAGGAAGCATTAGCCAAGCTCTGCACAGACAAACCAGAGCTGTTGGGATCACAAAAGGCCGAGTTTTCAGACCGTGGAGCTGGGGATTGACACGGCCACCCGCTCCGATTACGCTCTGGAGAGATTCCCAAATCCTCCCAAATTTCCTAATTCCTGCGCTCCCATTAGGGAGCCCGGGCGGGACCCTCCCCTCCCGGGCGGCGCAGGGCCRCGCAGCAGAGAGCGCTGCCATTTAAGACACCATAAATAATGCAACTTTACAGAGGAAGTATCGATGGAAAAGGAGGCTGCTTGAGTAAAACTATGTGTGTAAAAAGGATTTGATTCCAAACGGCGGATTTCCAGGGAAGGAGAGAAATTATTTAAGTCTTAGTCTGGAAGGGGTAAGTCATGGGTGCTCTAAGTCCAGCTAGTTATTTGGGATTTATATCACAGGATAAATGCACAAAACTGAGCGGAAGGCCTGAACACCTTGTGGATGGAAAAATGCTAAGTCCTATTAGCAATAAGGGAAAAAAAATTCAAGGCAAAATGGGAGTTGGGCAGAATATTAAAAWATGCAGCATCTTAGAGAGTTTTAGCCAAGCACAAAAGCTATATTTAACCTGCTAAGTGAATGTGGAAGCACAGACAGCTTCAGTAATGGATACAAATGGAAATTATGGAAATAACTGCAGCTAAAGAGAGAAACAAACCTACAGGATCGCAAGCAAGATTCACTCCTGAACTGGAGCCTGTGCAAAAAATGAAGCCTGAGCAATAAACCTGTCAAGGTGAGATSGGTGGAATGTGACAGGACTTGCATTTAGAAAAAGGACAGAAATAATTTGGGTAAAAAGAGTCTATTAGCCTGAACTGAACAGCGTGTAAGGGTTAAAAAAAAATTAAAGATTTTAAGGAAAAAGTAATTAACATTATGAAAATAAAACAGAAAATGAGATAAATAGAATATAGTAGAATAAACAGAAAGTGAGCTAAATAGCACAGGCTATATCAGGGGGAATTAAGGAACACTAACCTATTTCTCGCTCTTATAAGAAACATGATTTTCTAGTCAGAGTGAGTYGAATTCATCCTTGTGGGAAGTTTCCACGTGGGAAATTACTAGTGAAACTGGAGAGGCTGGAGGTGAGCRGGATAATTTCACAGGGATGTCCTCTGTGGAGAGCAGCATTTTACCTTGGAAGGAAAAGGACCCTGGAGCTCAGGGGAGGCCTGAGGTGCCGCTGCTCAGCAAGGACATGGGGCCAAAGCAGCAAACTGGGTTTAGCAGCACCCGAGAGCACCTGGGTTTAGCAGCACCCGAGAGCACCTGGCTGCGGCCACTGACATTCCCGGTGACTTGGGAGCACCCTCCCATTCTCACAGAAAACCTCACTCCAACACTACTGCATTCCAAACCCAGCGGAGCCTGCTCTACTGGGATACATGCAATGCCACTACAGACCATGTTATTGCTGTGAAGCACTGCTTAGGATCAAAACAAACTACCTCTTTACTCCCATTCCTCCAAATAAATAGAGAAATAAATGAACAAATAAATAAAAAGCTTGTAGAAAATCCAATCCGTCCACTCCACCAAACCACAAACCCACATCCAGGTAGCACAGATCAGTAAAGGCCAAAGCCTTTACTGATGTTAAACCTATTATTTAATASCTAAATACCCAAGGRGAGGATGGAGGGAGGAAGGTGCAAGCTCTGGTGGGTGGTGGCCAGKGSCAGGCCAAGGGGCAGTGGGTGCAGGTTGCAGCGCAGGCAGCTCCATGTGGCCGTGAGGAAGAACTTGTTTGGTGGGAGGGTGCCCGAGCCCTGGCCCAGGCTGCCCAGGGAGGCTGCGGAGGCTCCTGCTCTGCAGATCTGCCAGCGCGCCGGGATGCGCCCGGGTGCCCCGTGCTCTGGGTGTCCCTGCTGGAGCAGGGGCTGCGCTGGGGGAGCCCTGGGGGTCCCTGGGATTGAGCATTCTCCTGGGAAAAGTCTTACCAGAGTGGGTAGCGAGAGAAAAAGGGAGCAGAGGAAGCCCTGGTGCATCGTGCACTGAGAGCTCGGCCACACACGGGACAACGCTTGGGATTAACAAGGGGGSATCTTGAATTCCTTGAACCCAAGCCCTGTATCCATCTATCTACAAAATATAGTGCATATTTACCTACGATATATTAAAATTGTGTCTCCATCACATCATCTTCTGTTTTTTCCATGCACTTCAGAAATCCTGCCATATCCTGTCTGAATTCAGTGTCCCCTTCTGCTGGAGCTTCATCAAGATTTCACCATCTCAGCCCTACAAGACCCTCAGTCCTGATCTTGAATCCTCCAAAGTCCGACTACTCTAAATGACGCACTGCTCCCTTCCCACTGTTTTCCATAGGATCTCTCCTACAGCCTCAGATTTGGAAAGGGGGTTTGGTGTGAGGTTAAAATGACAGGATCTGCAGAGTAAACTGGCACTGCCAGGAATCCTAACTTCCATCTTCAAGAGGAAAAGGGGTGTGTGTGAAAACCTCAAGCAGCAGCATGCCTTGCCATCAGGACATACAGGACACAGTAATTGCTCCTACCCATAAGTGTTGTCCAAAGACAATACTTATGAATAGTACTGTTCAAGGGAAAAAAGAAAAACTGGAACRAAGACTGAGAAACAAAACAGAAAGCTAATAAAAAAAGAGAAAAGAAAACATAAAATAAACGAAAATAAGAAGCAAGTCTTCAAAGTTCTGGAATTAACCAAACTAGACGATGCAGTGAGCATGAAGCAGAAGAAACGTTCCCAGAAAGAACGGTATAGAAGTTAAGCTTACTGCCAGCAAATTCAAACGTAGAGCTCGACATTTAAGAGAAACAAGAGCGCAGGCATTTGAGGGTGTCCAGCAGCAGCTCAGGACGCCCGGGGCCAGTAGGTGGCATGTGTCACACAGCCATCAGTGCAGGGAGCATCCCACCYGCTCCCAGAGACAGCGTGACAGAGTGACAAAAACGCTCAGTTTTCAGGAGCAAACCCAACCCGTGGGAGCGGCCCCAGTGGCCGAGCAGGCTGGGGGAGCAGAGCAGCCCCGCTCGCTGGGTTTGCTGCCAATACTTACATCTCAGCTTGTCCAGGATTTTCCCTCCGCACATGGTGGCTAACATGGCTTTCACGGAAAACACCGTCAGCTTCCCATGGCCCTCGCTGCGGAAACATCACAGGGTAAAGGAGCAGTTACTGCGGGGAACTGTCAGGAACCCACACCGTGCAGAACAGGGAGAGGCAGAAACGCCCACCGTAGCTACTYGGAGCTGGCAAAAGGATTTAAAGTTGTGCCTCATCATAACTCAAGTTCTGTTGCATCCCCTGGAAGCTGCAGGAGACTCACGTTTGTCATCTGCATCCCCGAGCTCTCCCATAACAGGAGCAATCTTCCACGTTTATCTTTTCCATTAAAAACACATAAGTCACTATATTCACTGTGTGTCTCTCCCCCTGCTGCCTCCATTAGCTCAAAATCTGCCTCCTTGATTTCAACTCTGACATTCAAAAACCATCCTATTCTAGACACAGCCCAGCAACTGGCAGCTCGCGGGGCAGCTCTGCGACGTTCCGCGCGAGCGGGGACGGGAATAACCCGAGCTCTGCTTTGGCCCAACTGCAGCTCAGCAGGCTGCCGAGCTGCTAGAGCAGATGGCACAATTATGGAATTAATTCCCAATATCAGCAAGGGAAGATGACTTTGTGGAAAGGATGAAAAGGCCATTTGAGGACCACCCGTTGTGCGGAAACACCTACAGGCACTGCTGCTGTTGCCAAGGAAAGGAGAGTCAGYATGAGTATGTCAGGGAGCAAGCGGCCAGGAGCCCAGCAAGGGCCGCGGGGGCTGCGCCGTGCAGGGGAGCCGCAGCACGGGCGGCAGCGGCCGCTGCTCCCGGGATTTGCCAGCCCGGGAGCCGAGCATCAACCTCACCCATCCAGCGCGGGGCTGTCTGGTGCAGGAGGGATGTGGAGCTGCTGGCGAGAGTCCAGCAGGGTGAKCAGGGGCCTGGAGCATCTGCCCTGTGAGCAAAGGCTGAGGGAGCTGGGCCTGTGCAGCCTGGAGAGGAGAAGGCTGAGGGGGGACCTGAGCAGTGTCTATAGACACCTCAAGGGAGGCAGTGAGGAGGAGGGGGCGGCCTCTTTGCAGTGGTGGACAGYGATAGGACTAGAGGAAACGGCCACAAGCTGAGGCACCAAAAGTTCCMCAGGAAATTAAGGAAAAAATTCTTGACRGTGACAGAGCCGTGGAACAGGCTGCCCAGAAAGGTTGTGGAGTCTCCTTCTGTGGAGATCTTTAAAACCCACTTGGATTCAGCCCTGTGCCACGTGCTCYGGGTGACCCTATGTGTGCAGGGGGGTTGGACTGGATGATCTCTGGAGGTCCCTTCCAACCTTTAGGGATTCTCTACGCCCAGGTTGGATTCTGTGGTCAGAGCATAGCTCTTGCTTGCTGAGCTCTGTGCTGGTTTTAGCTCTGCCCTGAATACRGAGGAGGTTCTGCTGAAACCTTGGGCTCTTTGGGGAAACCTGGCTTCTCTTTCGGTGAGCCCAAGAAGAGCATCAGTCAGGAAAGAATCAAAGCCTGGAGGCTCCAATCAGAGTAACTGTTTGATACCAAGCGCTGCAGGCTGCCTTGGGTCAAACTCCCTGTTCTCTGCAACAGCTTTCAGGCCACGAGCACTTCTGCACTGCCAGCGTAGGCTGCAAAAGCAGAAGGAAACTGAGGAGGAGATAACAGCTGATGGCGAGAAAGATATGAGAGAGGGGAAAAAAAAAGGCAAGAAGAAATGCTAAGCCACAGCTACAGATCTGCAGCTGCTCCTCTGAGGACTTACAACGATAACACCTGTCCAAGAAGGTTAAGGTTAATGCAGCAACTGCTAACGACAGGGGCTGCCCCTGGACATGAAATGGGCTGTGAAGCAACGGCCTTGGCACCAGGAGCCACGAAATCCCTTTTAACCATTTAAAAAATGACAGTCTGTGGGGTCACAGTGTTTCAGAGCAGAATCTGGGCTGGCTCTCAGGAGGAGGCAGCTTTATAAAACACTCTTGTTGACCAAGATGATGAAAACACATCAGTTTTCTGTCACAGTTAGGTGAACATCTTCCAGCACTGCCTACAGAACACAGCTGTGTGTCCTCTGCGGCTCAGGTACAGGGCCCACGGCATCTGCAAGCGTCAGAAGGCACCAACTCATCCTTCTCAGGAGGCATTTTCTGAGACAGAACACTGCTGCCRTGGCAGCATCCACCTCTGCAGGCCCCACTATGATGGCAAACACGTAACATGCAACACGTTCTCAATTTCATGAAAGGGAGAAYGGCACACAGACTGTTTGCCAGGGATTCCTGCAGCTGCTGGCCACATCACCCAGCTAGAAAGGAACCCAGTTTAGATGGGAGTAGAAGGGCTACTAGCCTGTCGTACGCCGCTATGATGAAGTTGAGGAGGAGGCTGATGGACTGCTCCACGCTGATTTGGTGCGTAGAAGGCAGGCGCTTGTTCAGCTGGTAGTAGATAGAGGAGATGATTGTTTCCAGGCGGGACACATTGATCTCTGTGTTGTGATCCAGAGTGTTAAGGCCATTATCTCTGAAGGCTTCGATCATGTTCCAGATATCAACAAGATGAACTAAGGAAAAAAAAAAACAAAAAAAACAAAAAAAACACAAACCTGTTACTCTTTAACGCATKCAAGCCTATTTTTATGGCATTGTTTTTGAATATCATGATAGTTCTTATTTTCAAACCAACAATTTCTTATTCATCTCCAAAATGAGACAGACTCTTTTCACCAGGTGGTACAAACTAAGGGCCTCAGTGGCTGGAGTCCTGTGGTCTTTCATTCCATTTGAACCTCTGGATGTTCTCACAGCAAGGCTATACAAGAGAGAATTCATCTCAGACAGTATCATYACATTCAAAATTCACTGAAAGATTGGTTACAACTACTAATTTTGGGTAACSCCAAGGGACAGCCTAACCAGTAGTACTCCAGTATCGAGGGAGGCACTTGATGTTCTCGTTAAAATACAATGGTTTCCAGCTGATCCCATTGCCGGGCGCAAGGCGCGGTGCTTCATAACACACACCTAGCACACCAGAGCGTGCCCCTAAATTGTCGCTTCTCAACACACATCGACGTGTTAATGTTCTTATGGAAAGGACTTCCAAAGCCACAATAAGTCATTTGCAGAAAGACATTACACAGCGCTTGAATTTTTTCAGAGCTTAGAAATTTTTCAAGACTGGGGAAAATAAAAGGCTAAAGTTTAACAAAACGGAACGCAACGCAACGTAACACAAGTTACAAGGGATGGATTTATTTGCCGACTCCAAGATTTTTTGATCATCTTCCCCAATTCCTATAAGAGGGTTTGAAATAATAGTCTGATCTTTAACATTTCTCACATTAAAAACAAAAACAAACTACATGTTCACACCAAACGGAGCTCATAAACACAGCCTCATCTCTGCATCCACRCAGCTAAAGGGTCCTCAAGGCACATGCATCAGGGACAGTGCGTTGCAGCCTTGCATGTAGTGTACGCTAATTAGTGTATCTTAATACCTTGTTTTTATTAAGGAGAGATTTTTTATTAAACACACGCAGACAGAAACTGACAGTTTTGCACAGGAATGAACACCCGTGCCCTGCAGCCCCAATGGACACACAACGCCAGGCGAGCCGTGCTGTGCAGGGCTGCAGTTTGCAATATGCCATCAGGAAGACATACATTTCACTTCAGGTGCTGGGTAGGGAGGAAGAGTCACCCCTACGTATATAAATCTGCCAAGCTCTTGATCGTCCAATTTCATGTTAGAAATARAAGGCCAAGTACAAGCATATTTTAGCCCCTGGATTAATCTTTGATTAAACCTTGATTAAAAGGCATAAAGAAGGGCCAGCATGACCTCCTCAGGCACCTTCCAGCTAGCAGTCACCTTACGTGTCAGCAGGTGCCTCCAGCTGCCTTGGGGACACACACACACAATGAGGYAGCAGTTAAAATGCAGCTGGAAAGCACCTGCATCCAACAGCAGGCAAAGCTGCAGCAACCAGCACGTGCCAAGCTGACCCGTGTATATGGAATAACTGATATACTGGAGAATAAAACTGAAGCTCTTACAGACAACCAAAGGATCACTGCCTCTTTTTAATTATATCTTTAATCTCCATTTGGTTCACGCAGTGACAGCTGATATTGTCTAATAAAAGTGTTTGTTCTTGTGGAAGTTAAAATTCACAAGCATAGAGTATTTCAACCCACTGTGTGTGAGAAATTCATGAAGGTAACGAAGTAATGAGTAATTACAACTTACGATTACATCTTTTCTGTACAAACCGCAGTTTACAGGCTGTCCGATACGTAGAAAGTCTGATGACATCAAAGTTCTGAGCCCCTGTGAATAAAAAAAAACCTTGTATTTTACTTTCCTCTGTAATACTCAACTTATTTCATGAAATTATCTTTAAAAAGTGGTGTGACTTTTCATATACATCATCTTCATCATGCAAAAATGGCCAAGATGTTCCCGAGGCATCTCAAAGTCCTTTTTGACAGTATATTAAGAACTGACTTCAGCTTGAGACCACCAAAGCAACTCTTAAATCCTTAAGTGTAAGTAAGGATGGGCTGCAGTRGGGATGGGTAAGAAAGAAGATTGCACTGGATGTAGACAGGAGAACAGAAAGGGCTTCTGCTCTTCTGACCACTGCCTGTGCTGCACGGCAGCCGGCCCCACAAGCATTGGTTCGGCCTCTCACATGGACCACATCACAGAATCACAGAATCCTTAAGGTTGGAAGGGTCACCTAGCCCAACCTGCTGCACACGCAGGGTCACCCAGAGCACGGGGCACAGGCTGCATCCGAGTGGGTTTGGAAGATCTCCAGAGCAGGAGCCTCCACAACCTCTCTTGGCAGCCTGTTCCAGTGGAAAGAAAAGAACGCAGAAGAACAAAGAATGTTATCCTCACCTTTTTAAGGGTTTACAAATATCACACCTGCAAACAACAGTGTCAGCAGCATCCTGACAGATCTGCACGCTATCGCGAGTGTTGCACGCTAACGGCTCCAGCCCCGCTGTAGCTGCTGCCAACGCTACCACCTTCAGCAGCTTCAGAAAGCTGCGTCACCCCACACAGCTCCGTGCACTCCTGTGCTGACCCAACAACACGCCAGGCAGTGCCACGATGATAAATGACGCTGGCTGGCACTCCACTAGTAGCTGGTTTTAATTTGGAAGCAGCAGCCAGTGTGAGTTTTGAAGACCTTGTTAGCCATAAAACCCCACAAATGCCTTTTACACACCTGCTACTTAAACAGTGTTAGGAGCTCTAATAAAACACTGAGCTCCAGGACGTGCACTGCAGCAGCCCAGTTACACGTGGGCAATGGCCCAGGCAGTGCAAAAAGGCAGGATCTGCTGCAGCCCTTCCTGCTTCTCCCATAACTCACAGCCTACACGRATGGAGAAGGAAAAAGCAGGGATACAGGCAAATTATTGTGGAATCCAGACACCCAGAAGTTACTGTTTAAATATAAATAMATATATAATAAATAATAAACCCTCCTCTTGAAGACCTCTGACTGCCACCGCAAGGTCACGTTGAAAGGCTGGTAAACGTCCTGCTGGAGCGTTCTGAATTCAGACACGGAGCGCTTGCAAATGCCTCGCTTGAACCACCTTTCCGCTTGCGCCTGCTGACTCACAGCTGCAAGCCTGAACGGAGGAGAATCTCCTGGCCTCCACTGCAGATTAACGGAGACAGCGCCGTCCGCGTACGTGCCAGAGGTGCCACTATTCCCAGGCAGACCCGAGAGCCACATCCCACGAGCGCCGTGTCCAAAGGGGCATTTCTTTTCACCCTTCATGCTGAAGACTCTCCAGCAGGATTGGGGAGGATGCTGACCTGCATGGCCCAGGTTCAAGGGGGATGTGGAGCTGCTGGGGAGAGCCACAGGGACGACCACAACCCAGGAAATCCTGCCTGAATTTGAGGAAAACCCTCTCAGCTGTGAGGGAGCTGCAGGGGCTGTGGAGTCGCCTCCTCTGGAGATCAAGGAATCCTAGTGGCAGGAGAAGCCCTTCAGGATCACCAAGTGCAAGCAGTGCTCCAACCCGCTGGACGGCCCCGTGCCCGAGGGGACCCTGCTCGTGCCGGGGCCGGAGCGGGTGATGCCCTAAGGTGCCCTCCAACCTCAGCCATCCTGCGTCTCAGTGATCGCCGTGTGTGACCAGCAAGCACAAGGAGGGTCAGGACCAGGACTAGAATAAGACCCCTCATTTCCCATTTCTCTCACAGTATTCTCCCCACGAGGGCGCGCGCTCCTTTTCACCCCTGGAAGCACACAGATATCCCGGAGCGGAGCCTTCCCAACACGCTCCGTTGGGTGGATGCCCTTCTGGCCAGCGGGCACCTCGCGCCCCAGGGACACGCAGCGCTGCTCGACCCGCTTCCAGCCCCTGCATCTTCGAGGCTGTTCCAAAGGCTGTTCCACACACAACACGGAGATGACTCTTGTCTCCTCCTGCCTCGCTGCATCACACGGCACAAGAGCTTCCAGGCGGTCACTCTTCCCAACCTTCTGCAGATGAGAAGGCTGTGTTCTAGAGACAATCTGTAACTCCACATGCATCCTGCAGCTCAGCGACATTAGACTAGCTTGCACCGAGTTCCTGTTCCTCAGACAACTCCTCAAGCACCACATAAGCAACAACAATGTCCTTGGGTCAATCCGTGCCTACATGGTCACGCTCAAAAGGCATCGTGTCCTGCTTGGGATAACGCCATAAAAATCTACTGTTGTGTCAGTGAAGCAATAATCTAAATATCACTTGGGTGAATTTGCTTGCTGACCCACATCAAAGGTTGCTGCAATGCATAAACTCGATGCCCTCAATATGAACGGAAAGGAAAAGATCTTAAATGAAGCAATAAACAACCTGAAGGGTTCTGAAGATTTTAACTGCTGAGCTGAAGCTAAAAATGGCCACAAGCTGGAGCACAGGAAGCTCCGTCTGCAGGTGAGGAGGAACTTCTTCACTGTGAGGGTGACAGAGCAGTGGAACAGGCTGCCCAGGGAGGTTGTGGAGTCTCCTACTCTGGAGGTCTCCAAAACCCGCCTGGATGCCACCCTGTGCCACATGCTCTGGGTGTGCCTGCTCGAGCAGGAAGGTTGGACTAGATGATCTGTAGAGGTCCCTTCCAGCCTTCAATATTCTGTGATTCTGTGAAAACCAGCAAGTCTGTTTCTGCTCTTCTTTGCACCAGAGACCCAAATAAGGCTTGTGAAGGTCTCTGAAGAGAATCCCAGAGCAAAATAGAACAACGTGGCCTTACTTCAGCACTGACGAGATTCAAGGACCCAGCAGGGTTGAATGGGAAATGACCACAAATTCACAGCAGCGCAGCGAGCTGGGGAGGAATACTATCTACAAATGGGTTTCACGTGGGAATAAGCAGGTACAAATTAGCCAGGGATATAATGGTTCTTCAAAGTTTAGGAATGCTGATTCAGAAGTCTTCCAAGAAAAGAGCAGCATTAAAATCTTGTTTATTAAGGTCAACAGCCTCTAAATGAGATTAAAGGACATGCGTGCCCGACCTAGGAAGTTTTAAGTAACATAATGATGTTCAAGTACACAAACTTCAATGGGCAACTGCTCCCATCTTTTTACAGTCTCGCTCCTTTAAGTTATACTATCTCTAGGCAGTTATTTGTATGTGTAAAAAGCAAAAGTAATAACAAAAACCTTCAGAGAGTTCTCTTCCCAGTCACACTAGCATTACGGTGCAAATTTAAGTGAACTTATCTTCAGAAAAAAAAAAAAAAAAGACACCATAAATGAGAAATGGGAATGTTCTTTAAAGAAAAGGCTTTGCAGCAGCTGGAAATGCAGAATTTCACAGACAGTCAAGACCCAACTGTATTCTCCAGACCACAAATAAAGATCCGATCTTGCCTTCAGCAAGCATCAGGATGCTTCTCACTAGGCGAGGCCATGGTCTTGGGAAAACGAGATGTAAATGATCTGCTAAGATAGTCAAAACAAAGCTCAGAGCAAATAATAATAAGCGACACTATGCTTTCAAATTTCTTACTTACTCATTTCCATGAAGAGCTGTCTCTTCTCTGCCATTGTCCTCCTCCTCTTCCCACTCTCCTCAATCATTCTGGAGACAAAAATTGCAAACACTGTTTGTGCTAGATTTTTTTTCAAAATCAACTTGCTGTGAGTGAACTATTTTATTCTTCATTCAAATATTTTGGTTATATTTGGTAAATGAGAGGACAAGCAGAAACAAATGCCTAAAACCCTGAGGATTGGCATCTAGCCCCTTGGTGCTCAAAGGGGAGATCATATTCTATTCCTTTCCCTGGCTCACAGATTTGCAACATTTCTCTTCCTTAGCTACAGCTGTTGGAGGCAAGAATTTATTTAACTTTGGATTTTTTTCCCCCAAGTTCAAGTCACATTTGATAGAATTAAGGGTCTTAAAGACGTGGGCCTCAAAGTGACAGACAGCAAGTGGAACTTGTGCCCTAAGGCAGGGCAGCACAATTTAGCATCTCTTATGTCTTAGTTCATTATGTAGTCCTAAAGGACAGCTACTAAATTTTAATTAATTTCAAGCAAAATTAAGGGACTAAATTCAGTATTAGTGMAAAGTTTCACCATATTATTCTTTTGCTCCAGATTCATCAGATAAAATTCATTTTAAAAATTATTTGTTAAAGGGGAGAAACACAGCACACAATGATTTTACAATTACACCAGAATGCAACTCTGAAGAGAATTAGTCAGCTCATCCTCATRCAACCTGGCAGAACAGATTTTATTAGGTTTAAATGTCAACCAAGGAAARGAAAGTCGTGTCTTGGCACCAAATACATACTCACCGCCAGCCTGAACAGCTTCACTCAGCGGTCTTCCACCGCCTGTTAATTATTTTCCGGTAAAGACCTCGCATCATATATTCACCCCAAAAGTCACCAAACCCTTTCTCTTATCCATTTGTAAAATAAATACAGCCAGATGGTGGCATAATGTAATCTGTGTATGTCCTTATTTTTATTGTTACAGAAGGAAACCTCAGACTCGGAAACAATGTGCTTCTGCAATACTCTTTTTTAGGAAGTCTGAGGCATTTCTCCAGACATGTCACAGTTCCTTTTCTTCCCAGCTTCCTAGATGAAATGATGGTTGCATCAGACACACTTATGCAAAGGAAGGGTTGCAAAGGAAGCACATTATCTTCTCAGGGTCCTTCCAAATAAATTCTCTCTCCATATACTTCACCGCAGAGCTCTGCACTGGGACACTGCCTGGGGAGCTCGGTTCGTTCTGCCCATGCACGCGCTCCAGCTACCCTCACACGCTGCCTTCAGCTTAAGAGTTTTTGTTTAGGAACTAACTACCATTCCCTTTATTCCCCCAYTGCACAGGCCTTTCACCTTGTATATCAGTACGTAGCTTCATATCACGCGCTAACCCCTCTCCAAATCCCACAGCAGATGGGCTACAAAGGGTGGATTAATTGCCAGGAGCAATTAATTCTAATTCTAGAGCCCCTGGGTGCTAGCTAAATCCGGGAGATGGACTTGCTTCAGAAGTTTCACAGAAGGCGCRCAGAAATGCTACCACCTGGTAGCATTAAATACCCTTCATCATGCTCTAAAGCCTCAATAATTTTTGGACAAACTTCTCATAAGGAAACAACACTGACCACGTCCCTCCTGCTCAGAGAGCAGCCTGTGTCCAAAAGCAGCCCCAGGAGGTAGCTGGGAGGAAGGCAAGAAGGKGCCCAGCACACTGGAAGTTCTCCCGAGGATGCCCTTGAACTCCCCTCGCTTGCACGGCCAGGGCTTGCAGAGCCACGCGCGCCAGTGCCCACGCAGAGCTCCCCACCACGAGCCCCTCTGTCCTGCACCATTTACCCACTTCAATGTCCACCACACGCAGCAACCAGAACTTCCAAGGCACCAAACTCATAGTTCAACAGGCCACCTTCTTGTGGCCGTTTAAACCTGCCTCCTCCYTCCAGATTTTCAAGTCTTGCCGATCTTCTACTGGGATGGAAAACAAGGGAAAGAAGGGAGAAAGGGAGGACCAGCCACCTGCCACCCTCTCCATGACACGCTTGGTTTATGGATCTCCAACATATCATCTCCCCAGGTCTCTTCTCTTCCCTGCTGAGAGTTCCCAGCTTATTCTGTTGCACCTTCTACTTGGAGCACGTTATGTTCCAGCGAGTCCAAACTAACGCAGATGCTGGAGAAAAAAGGGCTGGGCCAAGGAAAGGGCCAACCAAGCCATGTCTACAGCAATTCTGGCACATGTAACTAGGGAAGCCAGGGACAGAAGAACACAACAGACGGAACAAGGAGGCGAGAGAGAAGCGAAGGCCAACCTGGGATTGCAGCTTTGCGCAGGAACGACCGGAACGGCAAYGAGCAGCAGGGCAGAACACACGGATTATTATTCGATTTGAGAGATGGGCAGTCAGGATTAGAGGTTCTACAGAGAGCAGAAAAGATGGCTTCTCCAGAACACAGTAAGGCACAAATTAAGTTTTTCTATATCAATGACCTATAAAAGTAAAATGCATTTCATTTTCCCTTAGCTCTTGATCCACGGAAGTGACAGCAACCACTCCATTAGCTCCAGCTCAGCCTGGATGTGAATATTAGTCCTGTACAGATGCTGACCCATGCACCGAGCAGGGTGGAGTCAGAAAATGCTAAACACTGCGTCCTCGTGCACGCGAGTCAAAGGCAAACGATCACAACTGAAAGGTGCACATGAAAACCCTAGGATATTTACCATTGTAACCTTAATATTCCTTTAAGCATAGCCTTACACTGCATATGCAAAACCCAAGTGTGCCCGATACTATTATCTTTTTGCTCTGGTCAAAGTCTCAGCAAAGTGGCCGATTTTCATCCATTCCAGGCCTTGACAAACCCTGACTGCACAACTAACTCCCATGCAGTAAACCTGACAATTTCTTACACCCCTCCTTGTGCTTCCTGCCTTCACATGCYGCAAGGTAAAGTTCATCAAGAAGAACCCACACGTTAAGATATTAATATTTTGGATTAAGAGTGTTTAAATCAAAGGAGCTGTTGCCTGCCTTCTCCATGCTAGATCGATAGAGCCTTCCAGAACACCTACCAGGAACAGGCAGACTCACAGAGCAGCCCATACAACAAAAACGGGCCTCAACAGGCAGCAGAGCTGGAAGACACCTCAACTTCTCGACAGGCAGTCACTCTAGGAGACAGGCAACACCTTTTGATACTGGTATAGAGCCAGGAACAGAAGTCACCCTCCAAATTTAACATGGTAAATTCTAAAAATAATTCTAAGATGGTTCCTCACCATATCCTCCAATGTTTGGACTCCTGGCTGTCTAGTTTCATCTCATGCTCCTGTCTCCATCTATTTCTGCACAGGCAGAGAAGTCACCTTCAGTCATCTCTTTTCCAGGCTGAAGAATCTGGAAACTATCTAGCTGTTCCACAGAAACTGCACCTATTTTTGGTTATCACTTTCCTCTTTACGTTTTCTTGTTCTGATGTCTGCTTTCAGAGACTAACAGGAAACAGAACTGTGYGCTATATTTGACATACAGGCATCCCACTGCTTCAAACAGCAGCAGTGATATTCTTGGTTTCATTCTTTTTTATGTTATGAGTTACTCAGAATTCTTATCTTCTGTTTCCTTTTTTTGACAACAACAGGGTACTTGCCTGAGGCTTTTCAGGACTGTGAGCATCAGGACAGGATTCCTGAGGGAGAGCGGACAGTTCAGAGAACAGCAGTGCATCAGCAGCATTCAGACTGCCTGCCTCTGCCCTCCCTCACCCCCAGTCCTGTAACTTCATGGGCATCTACACTGGCAATAAATTGGCAGCTGAAGCCTGATTGCTAATGGAGCCCTTCTAAAATTCCTAACAGTTGGCTTGCCTTTTAATGAGGATTTCTTTCAGCAGATGTCTCGCTACTCACCCTCCGTGCTTCCTCATTTCTGAATGTACTGCTGCTTGGTGTGCTGATGGAATGGAGTTAACCTAGGAGCGCTGAGACTAGGAGGCAACGATCACGGACTCATTAGTTAATGGTTTCTATTGCAAAAGATTTCTATTGTAATCGTCTTACTGCCACTCCACTGAGGCAATTCTAGTATCCCCTTCTCCTGCCGTGGAGTTTTTTGAAATAAAAGCCTACGTTCTGCGAGCTAAACCTGCTAAGAAGACACAAAAATGGCACTCAAAGTAAACACTATACTCCAAATTGGGTCTAAACAAATCCAGAGACCTACAGAACCCTTCACCTTAGAGCAGCAARGCTTCTAAATACGTAGAATTGGTGCAAACATAAATACTTAAATGAAAACACTGGAATGTAATTTCTTTTGCTTTAATGCCACTCAACTCTATCCAAGGCAAAGATCTCCAGCAAAGCTCTGAAAACTTTATACTCTTTCCCTATGCACCTCTCTGCTGTCTGTCTCTTTCAATAGCTACAACATTACTATTTAATTACTTCACAAGTAATCCATGACAGAATTCACATGAAAGCAAACTGGCAGATTCCTTACTAGCAAAGGTAGGGACTTCCAAAGAGTCATTTCCACGGAAATAACTAAAATAACTTAAATAGCACCATAAACACAGCCACGTTTCAGCTTTACTCCTTTCTTCTCTTYGTGTTCACACTGCAGTCCTGTGCTGCCCACTTCTCCCTTCTGGCTGTCTAAAGAACCTCTCTCCTGCCCTCAGCGGACACACATGCCTCACGTTTCCTGCACTTACACCAGGCTGTGCAGAAAACAGTACATAACAAAAAAACAAAAAAGGGAAGTCCTCAGATCAGTTGCTTTCACAGCTTGCACTGCTTATTTCTGTGGTTCTCAGTTACACTTAGAACTAAAGTGCAAAAACCCAAAGTCACTCTTAGGAGATGGTTAGGCCAATACTACAGGACCTATTTTAACAGGTTTCGCTCTTCTTGGAGCTCATCAGCTGTAGGTAACGGCCTAAGGAAGCTGGTTTCCTTTTCAGGATGAGGAAGCACAGTACGTGTTTGCTGCCAGCCACTGCAGCAGCCTTTGCTCTTGCATTAACGACGGACACCATCTCTAAAGCCACCTTCTACCCTCCTCTAGCT